GAAGTCCTACTAACGCCCAGTTATCAAGGCATGCTTCTCAATACAAGCATCTATCTCCTCGCGACTGCGCAAGATCGACTCTTCCAAGTAGGCTACCCTTCTAGTTTCTTCCTCATGATGCAGCAGTCCCAATTGCCAGCTCTCTAACTCGATTAAAATTGCATCGAAATGGGAAAGCACTTTTGTCACCGTCCCGACCGCATTAGTCGCAACAAACTACCTCAGCCTGGCCAAACCTTCTCCCAGCTCATTGAAAGGCATCCCTCAAGCCCTTAAGGCCTGCTCTAAACATGTCTTCAATCAAGCTAGAAACATCACCGAAAATAGGTCTAGACGGTGCTACTGAGGACAGCACTACTGAAGACACCTCAGCCACAGGGACTGGGCTTGTTGAAGAGATAGCCATCTGAGCCACTGGTTCCTCGGGAACCCAAAACACCCAATCAAGGTCGTGACTACTTGTGTGCAGTAGTTGATTGTCTAATAGCTAGTGTCCATTGATGATTGGTGGGTGGACTCTGGGGCCACTAAACACATATCCAAGTCTAGAGAAGGCTTTGTGGAACTTAAAAAGCTTAAAGTTGGTGAACATGTCATCTCTATGGGTAATGATTCCAAGTCTGATGTATTGGGCATTGGCACTTATAAACTAGCCATCCCAAATGGAAACTTCTTGCTCATTTTTTATACTCTTTATCCTCCTTCGATGCGTTGTAACTTGTTGTCAGTCAGGGACTTGATGTCAAAGGGATATGAAGTTCATTTCAAGGATGGGAAAGTTTCAATTGAGATTAATAGGAAAATCATTGTATGGGGGAAAGCTCGAGGGGATATGTATTTACTTGATAAAATGAATGAAATTTCATCTTCTTCTGCTTACTTGAATGTGTGTGATGATGAAACTTCTTTTTTGTGGCATATTCGTTTGGGTCATATTAGTATAAATAAAATTTATAGACTTGTTAATGATGGCTTGATTCCTAAAATGACGAATTTTGATTTTAAAAATTGTGAACCATGTTTATCTGGTAAAATGAGTAGAAAACCCTTTGGTAAGGCAACTAGATCTTATGACTTATAGTCTCTTATTCATTCTGATATCTGTGGCCCACTTAACGTAAAACACATAGGGGTATAAAGTATTTTATTTCATTCATTGATGATTATTCGAGATTTGATTATATTTATCTGATTAGTAGAAAATCTGATGCAGTTGAAGTATTTAAAGGATTTAAATTAGAAGTTGAAAACTAATTAGATAAAAGAATGAAAATCCTTAGAACAAACCGATGAGGGGAATACTGTTCTAATTTGTTTGATATTTTTGTAAAGAAAATGGGAAAATACACCATAAGACCATGCCCCACACACCCTAACAAAATGGTGTTATTGAAAGGTGTAACCGAACCCTTATAGATATGGTGCGATCAATGATGAATCATGCTAACTTGTCCTCAATTTTTTGGGGTGAAGCATTGCATACTGCTATGTATATTTTAAACTGAGTTCCTTCAAAATCAGTAGAAAAAATACCTTATGAGTTATAGACTGGACGTAAACCTTGATTGGAACATTTAAAATTTTGGGATTATGATGCTCATGTACGTATCCCGAGCCATGAAAGATCTAAGTTGCAGGCTAAAACTAGAAAATGTTCATTTATATGGTACTCTAATACTTCTAAGGGTTATAGGTTTTATGACAATGAGACCAAATCTTTGGTTGAATCTAGAGATGCACATTTCTTAGAAGAACATATGAATATAGGCAAACTCTCTCTTATAAGTATAAATGAATTAGACAATAATAAAAGAGTAAATGAAAACATAGAACGTTATGAATCTAATGTAGAAAACCTTGATAACTACATAGATAGTGGGAGAGATACATTTAAACTTACTAATGTAGATGACAGTGAACCTAGGAGAAGTTCTAGGAACAGAAGAGCACCATATCATTTAGAACCATATCAGAGTTTTGTTGCATGGACACTTTTGACCAATACTATAATTTTGCTTGTCAAGATATTCCTGAACCTTCCAATTGTAAAGAAGCTATTAATTCTGATGAATCTGATTTTTGGAATAATGCTATCAATGAAGAAATGGATTCTATAACTAAAAACCATGTATGGGAGTTGGTAGATTTACCTAGTGGGAGAAAAACCCATTGGTTGCAAATGGATATTAAAAAGAAAACCCAAGGTTGATGGTAGTATAGATAAATATAAAACATGACTTGCTGCTAAAGGGGGTAACTAAAAGGAAGGTATAGATTTTGTTGATACTTTTTCTCCAGTAGTAAGATTTCCTTTTGTTAGAATTTTGATGTCGATTGTGGCCAACCATGATTAGAATTGATTCAAATGGATGTTAAAATTATATTTCTCAATGGAAATTTAAATGAAGAGATATACATGTTACAACCTGAAGGATATATTGTTGAAGGCAAAGAAAATAAAGTGTGCAATCTAATTAAATCACTATATGGAATGAAGCTATCTTTTAGACAATGGTATTTAAAATTTCATGATGCAATTATGAAACTTCATTTTGTTTCTAATGAAAGTGATCATTGTATTTACATTAAGACTAGTGACTAGTGGGAGTAAGATAGTGATGTTGTCTTTATATGTGAATGATATTTTGATTGTTGGAAATGACATAGATATGATTAATGAAACAAAATCGTGGTTGAAATATAATTTTGAAATAAAAGATATGGGGGTTGCATCATCTGTTTTAGGAATTGAAATTACAAGAGATAGATATAAAAGGGTGCTCAACTTATCTCAAGAGAATTATTTAGAATCTGTTCTTAAAAAGTTTAAAATGGATTTATGCAAGCGGATCTCCACCCCTATTGATAAAGCAGTTAAATTATCTATTGATTTACGTCCTTCTAATGATAATGATGATATGCGAAATATTCCATAAACTCAAGCAATTGGGTGCATTAATTATGTTGTATCATACACTAGGCCAGATCTATGTTTTATTATAGGACTTATTAGCAGGTATCAAAGAAACCCCATAATGATACACTGGCAAGCAGTAAAAAGGATATTAAGTTATATCCAAGGAATAAACAAATACAAGTTGCACTATCAAGGTTCTTCCCTTAGGCCTCAGGGTTACTCTAATGCTGATTGGAGTGATGACTATGGTGATAGTAAATCCACTTCGGATTTCATTTTCACGCTTAGTGGAGGTGTTGTATCATGGTGCAGTAAAAAACAAGATTGAGTTGCTTTATCAATCATCGAAGCATAATATGTGGCTTGCAGTTTATGATCACAAGAGGCTGTTTGGTTGAGAAATTTCCTCATGGATTTAAAATTGGAATACATTAAAAATGGGCCTATAAACATGTTATGTGATAATCAAGTAGTCATTGCCGTTCTCAAGGATTCAAAAATAAACTCTAAATCCAAAGACATTCGCGGGAGTTACCACTATATTAGAGACGTAGTGGAATATAAAGATATAATAATTGATTATATACCTTCAAATGAGATGATTGCAAATCCATTGACTAAGGTTTTAAGCCAGGAAATTTTCAAGAAACATATAACAACTATGAGACTGAGATAAGTCCAAATGAAAACCCAATAATAGTTCATAAAATCATATTGGTGGGTATATGGAAATCCCATATGAAAAACATGAGGCAATACCATATATAAGATGTCAAAGAGCCTTCAGGCTGGGTATATGGAAATCACATGTAGAAAGCATGAGGCAATATCATGTACAAGCAGTTAAAGGGCCTTCAGGCCAAGTGGAAAATGTTGGAAATATGGCATATCAGGCCCTTTTATCCCAAAAATTTAATTTTTCAATAATGGTACAAAAACCATATTGAATAGTATATGTGAAACCCCATGTGGTTGACATGAGGCAATGCCCTATACTAAGATCCATTTTGGAGCTTTTATAGGATGTTGCATTGGAAGGAAACCTAGTGCCACTGGATGGAAAACCCAGTGAAGTGTTTGAATTCTTTCTAAGAATTTGTTTTATATTATAGATGTACAAAAGTATTTAATTTCTAAATATCTTTTATCAAGTTGTAGGAATGCTTGGATGACATCCTATATGAGATTCATTAGTGCACTAATGACAGGTTTAACTCATTGCATAGGATTAATAGTTTGGTGACAACTTGTTAATCCTAATTGGCTGCACTTAAGGAAATCAAGACAGGAATTATACTTAGATCTCAACTTCTGTAGACCATGAATGTGAGAGTTATAAAAATATGGTTCTGTATAAAAAGAAGTTAACCTCTCAAGTAAGATAGAGAAGGATGGAAAATTGGTGAAGGAGATTCACCATGAAGACTCTTAAGGTAGCCTATCACCGACTGGCTTGGTCTATCGAATTTGATATGAAACCTTAGGTCTCTCGTGTGATTTAAAGACAGATCCGAGTAAGTTGTTAATCGATTTGAATTTTATTTATTTGTTATTATTATTTTTATTGGGACTAACATGTTTTTCTTAGTATCTTTTTACTTTATCTATTGTTTGGCCACTATTTGGGTGAGTCAATTGGACTCGGCCAAGAAACCTCGGACCAATGGCGAGTGCATGGGCCGAGGTGATTTTGGTATACTGTATGCCATATTATAGTTGTTGGAAGTATAATACCTAGCCTTGTAGCATAAAATGGTAACTTCAAATGAAATTGAGATATCTTATAGTTCACATGAGTAAAAGTGAAAAACAACTCATGTATTTTTGCGAGTAAAAGAGAAAAACAACTCGTCTTCTACCCTCTACCGACAAGCAGACAGTGAATGTTGAGCCTGAGTGCAACATCATACTTGTTTTACATCTTTAACTTCCAAGGTTGAAGATACCCTTTTTATGCATTTTTATGAGTAACACAGATAGAAGTTTATTAGTTCAATCATGTTCATTCAATCTATTGTTGGCATGCCTAGCGGCAAGGACGACACCACAGCAGTCTCAAATTTTAATTCAACATTTGTCTGAGTTGCACTTAAATGTTATTCTTTAGTCTTAAACAACTAGTATGAAATATTGACATCAATAACAAAATGTTCCCCCAATATTTCCTAAGTTTGTGAAATCTATTTGGTGAATATTTTCGAGAATTTTAGATAACATTCATACACTTTTAAGAATTTTAAATAAAGCTGTAATTGATGTGCAATGAAAAGCGCCAAGTCTCTTGAAGTGAGAATTGTCGATGTCACACTCTTCAGCATAGATTCTCAGACTAGTTAACTTGTATATGCTCCTTCCTGGATATGCAAATCATGCTCTCTCAATGTCCTTACTACAGAGAAACAAACAATCTTGAATTGGGTTAGTAATATGGTGATGCTCCTAGAAGAGGCTCTAGACTAGCTAAGTGTTCTTTCAAAAACTTGTAAACCAATCCAGTAGTTGTCGCAGCAACTCGAATCACCAATCCCGCATCCTGAAAACCATTTGTTAGGTGCCAAATTGTTGTCAGGTCATATATGAAGTAGGAAAAAATATTCACTATTTTTTCCTAAGAATACCTTCGGACCAAACGTACTACAAGAAGCAATCAGCTCTGGCCTTGATCTTCCATAGGTGAGGTCTGGTTTCATATCTCTGTCATGTTGTCTTTTGCTTGTTAGACGCATACCAAATTCCTCGGACATTTTCTTCTTAACCTTCTCTTGTATCTCATTCTGTACATGCTCGAACTTATGCCTACAGTTTGTCAGTTGAATTATTATTAGTTAAAAAGACAAGGGACATAGAATCAATAGAAGAGGAAGAATTAAATAGAGCAAGACTCTGATTGAAGACAATACCCTAACAATATAATCATGGCAATGACTTGGTAATCTTGCATGCCATATGTGCCCTTCATACTACTACCTTGCTCCAATACTAGCTGCATCACAAAGAATCCCATAAGACACAATAGAACCTGCATTAATTTTTGTATGTATGCAATTGATACAGGGGAATAAAGACAGCAAGTAAGGTTACTGAATCAAGCAATAAAGGTTGCTGATCTTCATTTGAGATGATGTGATTGGTGCTGTTGTAGCTGTTGAATGCCCACTTCTCTCCACATTCATAACGCCCGCTTGTGACCCAGTCTACGACCACCAGACTTGAGCTCCGGGAGACACTGAACACTTGCTTCTGTTTGTATTTTGCAGTGGCAAAGCATGTCACGGGATGAGGAAGAACAGCCACAAGTGCGTTGCACCCAACCCTTACCTGTGAGTTTGCCAACAAAATTATGTTTTGAGTACACAATATTCACTCATGCATGTTTCTTGTTACTATGGATTCCAACAGAAAATCTTCATATTTTCAAATCTATCTATTTGGGATTCAGACATGACGAGCCGGGTCAGACATGACAGATTCGGGTGAGCCACCCAATTATTGTTCAAAATAGCTTTCTTTGGCCCTTGTGTTTTCTGTATTTTATTTGGCATCTTGTTCCTAGAAGCCCAATTTGAACTTGTTTGACATCCAAGAGCATCTCTTACCCCTCTTTCCTATCCAAAAGCAAATTTTTCAATCAAAACCTCAATCATTTTCTAGCTTCAAAAACTTCCTTTCAATTTCTCCCTTGGTTCTCCACCAAATTCTTTGAAGTTCGTTTCAACTGGTTGTTTTGGATCCATCTTACAAATCCGTATCACAATTTTTCGAATCGAAATCCTTGTTCAAAGAGATCTAGAATTGAAATTTCGATAGTTTTGAACCCAAAATCAAGATTCTTTGATTTCTCACCAAACTCGTTCAACTTTGCTTAAAATGTTCCTTTTTATGAAAACCAAAAATCCTTAAGATCTAATTTGGATTTTTTTTCACCATCTTTTTCCACTATTTTCTATAAGATTTTTTTATCTTAAGTTATGACTTCGATTTTGATTTATAGCTGCTATCAGATGAAATCAAAATTCATGCTAATCACTGGATTATCCTTTCGCTTCTAAGATTCAGAATCAATACAAACCCCCTTATCAACTACCATTTTCCCTTCATATTTTAAAAAAATCATTCGGCAATACTTGATATTCAAAGAAGGATAACTTGAAGTTGCAGACACTAACTACAGTAAACGACCACAAATATTTCGAGAGAGAGAGTTGAAGATGCGCTTCTGTTAAAGTATACCTATTCAAAACTAATGGAGAAACACCCAAATTAGCCACCTTTACCTCTTAATGGTCATCTGAATATAAGGGGCCCTTTAGTTCGGGTGAAATAATTTCATTGGAAAATATGTATAGAAAAATATTTATACAAGCATCTATAGAAAGATAGCCCGAATTTAATCAATTAATCATGTTTGATGGAATTTCTAAGAAGAAAAAAGAAAGGAAAATTATACATACCCCCTGGACTATACTACCTAAGGATGCTTAGTAATAGTACTTATTAAACTACACTTTCAATCTCAATAATAATTATTTTTGCATCTACCTTCAAATAAGAATGTAGTTTTTTACGATAAAAATACCCCAATGTATAAACTAAAATTTGAGATAGTTTCTCTCTAAAAATTTAAAGAAAGTTTCTCTCTCTAAAACTTAAAATTTGTTAAAGTTTCTCTCTCTAAAAATTTTAAAATATTTTGTCTCTCTAAAACATAAAATTTGAGAAAGTATATCTCTTTAAAATTTTTGAGATCGTGCCTCTCTCTAAACATTTTTAAGATAGTTTCTCTTTCTAAAAATTTTGAGATAGTTTCTCTCTCTAAAACTTAAACTTTGATATAGTTTCTCTCTCAAAAAAATTTGAAATAGCTTTTTGTTCTAAAACTTGATATTTGATATATGTTCTCCCTTAAAAAAACTTTGAGATAATTTCTCTCTTCAAAACAAAATTTCACATAGTTTATCTATTTAAAATTTTGAAAAAATTTCTCTCTAAAAATTTGAAAGTTGAGTAGCTTTCCTCTCTAAAACATTGAGATAGTTTCACTTTATCATCATGAACATCATTAAAGCATTTTCCCAACTATTGTGGGCCAGCTACATGAATCTTAGTCCACCATTACGTTCTATCAAAGGTCATACCCTCGGTGAGATCATTAGTCCATGTATCTCTTCTCATAACTTCCATCCATGTCCTTTTGGGTCTATCTCTTATCCTTTTTAGTCTTCCACTTGAACTAACATGCACCTCCTAACAATTGGTCAGCCAACCCCAGTGTTAGATCCCAGCTCGCGCCACACATGCATGCTCATGCGCCCACATGTGATGTGATATGACCCCAATGCCATGCCGTGTGCCTGGATAAGGCGTGCAATGCAGTGCGATGGCAAACCAATAGATTAAAAGTTACGAGACAAGAATTACCTCAAAAGATTGGTTAAGTTAAGGATGTGTTCGGGCGGTGGCCCTCGTAGATCCCGATTTATTATCGCCCGTAGAAAGCCTTCTGACATATGTCGGTCAATGGGGCACGGGGGCATATGAGCTGCGGAGATGCTCCCAAAAGGATGAGCCTTCTGGGCCAAGCATCCCTAATTCTCCTCGGGTGAGCTTTGTGAGCCAAGCACCACAACATGAGGGGAGCCGAACTTATGTTGTCGTGACCCGTGAGCTTGGGACATGGTTTGATTCCACTCCCTCACATGTCTTGTAGCACTAGGGACTACGGGTCGTGTGCTTGTGATTCTTGATGGGCTTATGCAATCGTTGTAGTTTTCCACAATCATTTTGATATATAATTTACAAAGAACCATGAAGATTTGGTGGAGTTTTGGTTGTTTTGGGTTTAAAGGTTTTATGATAATCTTTTTAAATACTCTTTGATCATTTGCTTCAGAAATGCCGGGTTCTTTTTTTTTGTTTAGAAAATCTAAAGGGACCTCATCACGAACATTTTGCATAAAAAAGAGCACGAGAAGACCTCAGATCGGCCAAGTTATGGTTTCGACAAGTTGTCAGAAACCCAGAGTTCTGCTACACCTAAAATCTTGCCCAATTTCAAGTCTCGAATGGCTAGCAGTCTGGACCATGATCATCATCTTTCATATGTCATTTCAAAGGTATTTGTGTCATGAGCAAAATGCACCAATTTGAGCTCACGTTGACGGTCAAATGTTGATTTATGATAGAAGAAGAGAGAGAAGGTAAAGCAAACTGGTTTTTGCATGAATTTCAATATTTGCGGACTTCTCTCTGAGATTTTTTTCGATCGAACCGACGATCACGTGCAAGGCCTAACCCAAAAGAATGTGCTCATCGAGAAGCACAACATATCCAAATTTCAGCTCGATTTGATTTGTAGGACCGAAGATCTAAGGGTGTAAAATTTGCCCAATTTTGAGGAAGTGTTGCATGATTGTACTATATTTGGTAACTGGTATACGCTTTAAAATATTGAATAATATGAAAACATCACTTTTTCGAAAATTATGGTTTGGAATTTGGAGAGTATCTTTTGAGTAATAGGGCCAACCTTGGTGCTCTTTCTCGGGTTCGAATTAGGTCATATAGAGGTTCTTCATGATACGGGCTTGTAACGCGCGTGCTTTCGTTGTTCAAAAATGTGGATTGGGATGCCTAGGCATTTTGGGTTCTTGGCCTCCTAAGCACCCTCTCACAGACAGAGTGCACTCACCAAAGTCAACAAGGCAAAATAAAAAAAATAAACATATCAAGTCATCAACCAAACATGTAATTATATCGTAAAAGAAAAAGGAAGGTAAAAAAAAAATACATGATTCGCAACATAATACGTTGTAGAAAAATAAAATCAATACCCTCTTTCAAATATGATAATACTCTAAAAATATCACAATCAAATCGATGTCGGTGCAAACTTCACCTATTGGGTCGCCAAAAGTCATCAAAATCAACTAGTAGAAGCTCTAAATCCCCCCATGAACTATTGTATTTGTTTTGAGAAGATACCGCAAAATTAAAACTTGATCTATCTTTAGATAAATCACAAAAGAGTAGTTTTTTGGGGGGGTTTTCTCACCCTAAAAGCCACAGTTTTTGTTTTGGGGGTTTAGACTACCCCCCAAAACCCTTTCCTTCCTTTTTAGGGGGGGGAAATGGCATTTTGTTTTTACCCTCGCCGAGGAATTTTTTCACCCTTCCGCAAACTGGCACTGGGCAACGCCTAAGCGGGCGCCCAGAGACATGCTACATAATTCCACCGCCCAGACAATGCCTAGGCGGTTGGGCGGCCGAATTTTCGAACACTGGATGGCTTTTAGGTGTATTTGATGCTCTAGAGTTATAGTGCCAACTGTCTCCTGTGTTATGCACATGGGTGGGGGGGGGGGGGGCAGGTGCTTCAAAAATGCGTACAAACCACAAGTGTTGTACTGGGTTAGCACTGCAAATGCCCAACCCACCTAAATCTACTTTCTCTCATCTTATTACATATTGGAGCCACACCTTAGCTCTCACGAATGCATTCATTTCAAATTCTATCCCTTATTGTCTGGCCACTGTTCATCTCAACATCTTCATCTCTGCTACACCCATCCTATGGGTATGTATTTTCTTGACCGCCTAACATTCCAACCCATAAAGCAACAATGGTCTCACACTTGTTTGGAATTTCCCCTTCAACTTGATTGATATGCGGCGATCATATAAAACTCCAATTGCACATCCATTTCGCCCATTTAGGTGTAATCTTATGTGTGATATCTTCCTCAATCTCTCTACTTTTCTGGATTATTGACCCAAGATATCGATAGTGCACTCTGTTTTCCATTTCTTGATCATCAATCTTAACTACTTCCTCATCTCTACTCTTATTATTACTAAACTTGCATTCTATATACTCAGTCTTAGTCTAACTAGTTTTAAAACCTTCGGATTCTAGAGCATTCCTCCATAGTTCTAACTTTGTGTTGATGTCGTTTTGAGTCTCATCATTCTAAACTATATCGTCTGCGAAAAACATACACCACAACACCTCATCTTGTAGGTGCCTAGTTATCTCGTCTATAATTAAGACAAAGAGATATTGGCTCAATACTGACCCTAATGTAGATCTATTGTCACTGAAAACTCACTCCTTACTCCACTAGTTGCTTGCACATTAGTTGGCACTCCCTCGTGCATATCTGTTAGCAAATCGATATAGTATATGGAGATTCCTTTTTTTTCTAACACCACCAAATTATTTTATTTTTTTTTGTTCCTTCTTCCTATTTTATTTAGTCATTTGAATAACAGAGAGATGTCCGAGTTGATGCAAGGATTGAATAATGGGCAATTCTTTATTG